GGCCAGATCGGACCTTGGTAAATACGAAAAAAAATAATATTGGCCCAGTTGACATTTTTTTTAAGGCATTTGTTTTCATATTGATTCTTATTATTCAGAAATAATTAATAATGTGTCATATGATTTTTATGATATTTTGTAGGTCTTTTATTCCTACATAAGTACATATATTTAAACACGCGGCCATTGTCATGATTGTAAAGGCTTAATGTGATTGTAAAGGCTTAATGTTTGCTGTAATTTACAATAGCCTGCGTTCCATTGAAGACTAGTAATAGGTTTGTCTATCTCTTAATCTGACTCTATTGATAAAATTGCTCTTTTCTATTTATATCATATTAATGCTTAAATCAAATCAAAATAACTTAAATAAAATCGTTTTGTTCATCGTATCTGCTATGCAATGAGTCGTTACTTTGTCAATGCTACTAGTTGCCGTGGCTTTGTATTATCCAACTAAAATGACGCAGTCATGATTGTACATGTTACCATTCGCTTCAAATATCATCTGGATGTTTACTTTTAACTGATATTCCCTATTAATCAGACAACAACATCCAAATACAACAAAAAACAGCCATCAACGAGTTGTATTATGGGGCCAATGATATAAGACGAACTTAAGATTTTTTTCGCTATCAGTGACAAACTCTGATTTATTGAAAAACTTAGAATTAAGATCAGCTGATAAAACTAAAAAGAGATTTGTTTTATGATCGGAACGAGAGAAAACAAATTGAACTTAAAAACAACAATCATAAAGATAGATTGTATTATCGCATCTCGTTCTTAATACAGAGGTACCAAATTCATACCGCCATATATTCAGATGTAGAGTACAATTTACAGAGCATTAAACACACGATGCAGGACACAATACTGTGCTATACTCAGGGTCAATTGGTTAACAATATTAGTAAAAAATGGAAAATTCTTTTTATAAGCAAGTATTTCCTAACAACTGTATCCATTTATCAACTTGCCTGTTAAGCTAATATTGAATATTTATGACAATTCTTATGCTTATGTTTGCCTTATAAATAATGTAAACTGTTTATCCATGTAATATCTAAAATTAAAATTGAGAATGGAAATGGGGAATGTGTCAAAGAGACAACAACCCGGCCATAGAACAGACAACAGCAGAAGGTCACCAACAGGTCTTCAATGCAGCGAGAAATTCCAGCACCCGGAGGCGTCCTTCACCTGGCCCCTAAACAAATATATATACTAGTTCAGTGATAATTCAGTTCAGTAAGAAGACTGAACAATTTTGAAGAAATATTTTCTGCCGTCGTCGAGGTTCCAAAAAGACAATACGAAGAGACTTATAAAGAAATCGTCATAAATATAGTTGTGTGGGGTTAAATTTACAAGTAATGTACTGTCCATACTAGGGACCATATTTGTTGACAACGAAACTCACGATTTTTGGCCAGTATTGGGATACCAAAGATACCCGTTCACGTCTTTGTCGTATGGGGATGTAAACATACGCAACCATGTCTGCTATTTTCGTTTGATGTTTAAATTGTGGCTCAGCCCAATAAAGACCCACGGTAGAATGTTTTTGTTTTCATATATTTTGTAGATTTTTTTATGCTGAACTCAAAAATGCAAAGAAAAAAGGGGCTTGTTTTATCGCTATAGTGCCTTGAAAAGTGCATTTTGGGGCTTAATTTGCACAATTTCGTGTATGACTATTGAGTGTGCTACAGCGTATATGATAGAAAGTATAACTGACTGATATAGACAACTTCCTTCAATAAGACGTAATTATGATAAGAATTTAACAACTGTTTTCAACAGTTATTTCTTGCCTATGATACTTTAACCTGAAAAACTTCAAAATGTCTAATTGTTCACGTTTGTTTTTCTACAAAAATTATCAAACAAATCAACATTGCTCAGAAACTCCCCGGTAAGATTTTTTTAAAACGACTATTAAGCTGATATGTATTTGGAACATTTTGAGCCCCCAAAAAAGGACTTACATTTTGTTATCACCTTTGTCAGAAGAGACTTACCGGGATGAATGTAAAAATAAGGAGATGAGGTATGATTGCCAATGAGACAACTATCCACCAAAGTTCAAATAAAGTGGGTGTAAGCATTTATAGGCAACCGTACGGCCTTCAACAATGAGAAAAACCCATACCGTATAGTCGGCTATAAAAGGCCCCGACATGAAAAATATGAAACAATTCAATTGAGAAAACTTACGGCATAATTTATAACAAAACAATTAACGAAAAACAAATATGACAGACATGAACCAACGACAACCACTGAACTACAGACTCCTGACTTTGGACAGGCGCGTTCATTTCATTTTGTTCGTATATTTGATCTTTTATTAGGATCGTAAGACTTTTATTTCTTTGTTTGTTTGTTTGTGCTGTACAGTCGCTAGACTGTCCGAAAAGTTTTTATACTTGCTGGCAGGTTGTTTTCTATATACTCTTATAAATTTATATAATACAGAGATGTGGTATGATTGCCAATACGACAACTATTCAAAATGACGTAGATTTAAACAATAGGTAACCATATGATCATTAGCAATAAGCGAAACCCATACCGTATAGTCAGCTATAAAAAGCTTCGACATGACAAAATGTGCCACACTTCAAAACGCAAAAACCAACGGCCTAATTTATGTCTTATTAGCAATCATACCACATCATCTTAATTTTATAATAACAGACAGCAACCAACCACAACCATGGAATGACAAGCATCTGAAATGGGACAATCCCTCCAAATAAACTCATCATAGATTCCAGGATTTAGATGTTATACACCAGACGCGTGTTTCGTCTCAAAAAGATTCATAAGCGACGCTCGAATAAAAAAAAGTGAAAAAGGCCAAATAAAGTAAGTAGTTGAAGAGCTTTTGAGAACGACAACTTCCTATGGGTTTTGCCAAATACAGCTAAGGTAATATAATTAAGAAATAATTCATGGGGGCTTGAATTTATCGTGATTTTACCACGGGTTGGCCCTTTATGCTTAATATTTTACCCCGAGCGAAAGCAATTCTTTTGGACCGAAGCGCTCTTCGTAAAGGGAAATGTTTGCTGTTCCCGTAATTGAACAAACTATTAATACTGACGTAAACGACGAAAAAATTTAATAAGTGACATTCCTAAATGATATCCAATAACATACTAAGACAGATTTGAGTGAATTTAATTGACTATCTTACTTTCATTTAAGAAGATATGGACATTATACAAATTCTTACCATCGTTTGTTTATGTTTTTATGTTTTGACTACTTTCAGTTTCCCGTAAAATCCTTACATTCTTACATCATCGTTCAATGACGTCTTTTACACTATCTGACGTGAGGACAATCATTCATAAAAAGCATACGACGTGGGAGTAGGATTAGAACAGCCCAAACAAATCATGACGTTGCCTATCAGTTGACATATGAATATATTCAAATTTTACCACCGGTGTGTACTCAAAGCGTTTGAAGAACGTCATATTAGAATCCAACCCACACCTCACCTTGAACTATGGTGGAATAACACAACATATGAACACACTCTACAAATTAGATTGAAATGGTTTGACTCATCAGATCGACACGAAGCTCAAATAACATTAACATAAAATTACTGATTTAAGAGTACTCGCAGTAAGTGAAAGATAGTGCAAAGGCACAACTAAATCATACTTCATTTTTCTCCCAGACTAAAGTAGTTTTAGGAACCTCATGAACGCAACTCCTCTTAGAATGATTGCCGGACAGTTGTCGTACTTGGTAGGATCGGTTACATCATGTGGGATTGACCATATTATAATAATATAAGTACTGTCAAATTGAATTGACCGTTTTCTGCTGGCGTTATGGGACTTTTGCCGTTTTTTCTTATTGTATACATGTATATGACGCAATCACACTCGTCTAAACTCGACCGATTCCGTTCCTCCATCTAAAGGACAGAAGGAGAATAGCGGATTCTTCAGAGGATTACCGATAGAAAACACTCAGTACTTTTGTAACACAATGATAACTTGTGAGATCGCATAGCGGATTTCTTTACGGCGTACCAGCTTTTTTTTGTTTTTTTTTTTTTTAGTTTTATTTCTTGTTCATAGTGCTGAAACCTTTGCTGACCAACTGTCTTCTTGTGATAAAGTTGCGTTATGTAGATGCAGTTGCGTTATGTGGATACAGTTGTGTTTTGTGGATACAGGTGTGTCATGTGGATACAGTTGCATTGTTTCTACGTTTGAAGTGAGTTTTACATTTGTTTTTATTTGTACCCAGGTTAATGGCAATACGGAAGAAGTAAATTGTGGAGTTGTATAATTTATTTGAAGATTAATAATTATCTTCCAGGGGCATAAGCTGTGAAATTCGTGATCCCCAATTTGACTTAAATTCTCATATTTGATTAATTCCAAATTACAAAAAGTTAAAAAGAAACAATTAGTAGAGCATGGACTTGTTATACTGTATCAGCTTTTCGTGCGTATTTTTGATTTAGATGCCATCGAGATAACTTTCGAAGACTGCTGATAGTCATTCGACCCGATTTAAACATAGATGTAAATATATATATATAGATAGACCGAAAAGCACGTGGAGTAGTGTAATTACTATTTTCCCAGGTCTGTTTGATTTCATTAGAGATTAAAAAAATGTAGATCATCTTTTAACTTGGATATGAATGATTTCCTGCGAGCCGAATCGGTCAAAGAAATGTTGTTTGTTATGGTGGCTTCCGTGTTTCACTTTTCAGTGTTGACATTCTTATCTCTTTAAAACTGAACACTCGTAGGGCATGCGCAACCCATCTTCAGCTAAAGGTCAAGTTGGGGTTATGTGAGTATTGGTTCAATTGAGATTGAACTATTGACTTGAAAGTCAATATTACATTTGCTATGTTTTCGATCTTATTTTGACCAAATTGAACCCGACTGACTGCTAATAGCGAACTATTTATGATTGTTTCATTATTTCGCAAATATAAACGTTAGAAACAAAAGCAATCGTGTTTTATGTTTTTGTCTAAATAAAAGCAAATGCCCCTTCAACTTATATATTAGTTTCGAGTGCATTTCCGATTGGGATTTCTGGCAATTCTCCACCAACATCTAAATCGACGGCGATTACATCGACGGCGGTCACATTTTTGGCATATACCATAGTTCTGGAGACAGGAAATGTCGTTCTGTTTTGAATTCATCCTACAACCGGTAGCGTTCTCATCTTCGTAAGGGCTTAATACCTGAAAGGCAAGTTTAAACCATATGATTTTCATTATTTTTGTAATTGACTCGTGTTGTTGTATCCTTACATTTGTACAAAAAACGATAAAATGTTATAATTAATACATACATGTTTCAAAAATAAAGCTTGAATCAACCAATAATGCATAGTTACAATATATGTAATTAAAGTTGATTATTTATCATCGTAAAATGTTTTTAATCTTATCAAACAAAATCATTTTGGAGCATTGATTTTGCTTACTTTGAGTTGTAATCTAACAAATAAATATATAAAAATAAAAAATATATGATATTCCGTTTACACATTTTTTAATTCCTTCGCTGAACCGTTACAGTATCTCCTTTACAAATCACATATATATTGCTATTGATTAAAATTTCACTAGTATGAAACAACACACAAGATACGCATCTTGTTAAATGAACATATGGCAATTCATGCACTTTCTGTAGATTGATTGATTGGTGATTGCTTTACGCCGCATCAGCACAAAAGGCTATATTGCGGCGACACTCTTTGTAGAATGATACTACTGGTTTCAATGCAATATCACATATCATGAATACATTAATTTAAATACTTTTCCACTTACCTTGCAGTTACTCTTGCAAGCCTTTCTGTAACCTCTGTTCAGTCCCCTCCACTGTAAATTAGTTATTGCACTACATTTCATATGGAAGCCGCACGTATTGATACGATATCTCAATGGATTGCCTTCTTCAAATGTTCCTATAAGGATATTAACATTAGTTGAACAACGAACATATCATGCTAATATTAAGTACAAAATAATACTCAACTCTTAAATAATGGCATACTAGATAACTAAAACACAAGTACAAAACAATAAATACAGATTATTACACATCTTCGCTAGCCAAGGGTTACGATCCGGCCCCTTCCTCTCCACCCTTGGCGGATTAAGATAGAATTTCGGATCCACTAGGTAATGATTTCCATTGGTCGCAGTTGTAACTGGCTGCATCCTATCAAAAAGCGCCTTTAAGATGATCACGTGTAAATGATGAAAATGTGAATAAACAATTGCCACGTGCTGATTGTGCAACATGTCTTTACCACCAAAACATACGACGACATTTAGTGACTATTCTTAAGCTCTTAATCAACTAATATAAGTTTTTGGGTTTATTTCTTGTGCAAATGTTGGAATGTCAACGTATATTTTCGGTTCCAGCTTTACGAAATTTCAAAATACCAGACGCAACCATTTTTACACCTTCACACTGAAGAGAGTTCAAGTGCTGCCATTGGTCAAGAGTGATGTAGTAGGAATGGGCGTGACTTTTATCTACCGGTAGATGGCGTAACATTGTTATCACAAATGTTGGCTTAATCTGCCAAGGGTGGAGAGGAAGGTACTGGATCGTAACCCTTGCCTAGCGATCATGATTATTACATAGCCGTTTCCATATCGGCCCTGTTATCATTCGACGCTAGCCTGGGTAATATCTACACGAATCTCATTCTTTCAAGTATGTTTATACCGACACACAGATATTAATTTCCAAATTGGTCTCGGTATGATATCAGTTTTCTGTTTTATTAACCTGGTACCAAGAATCGGAAGTATGTAATATACAGAATAATGCATGGTCTTTTCCATATTGGTTCTGTTATCATCGTATGGCTAATATAAAACTCTCGACTAGCGCCTCTAGCTGATATGGGAGTCACGGGATGATTCGATGGCAGATATGGAAAATAGCGTGTAATTACACCGCGTTAAAGCATACTCGTACAGTTCCTGAAAGCAAGCTGGAAATACGTAACCTACTGATATGAAACCTCGTATATATGTGTATGCAGTAGTTACTGTCTCATTCTGTAAATTTACAATTTCTTCTATTTTTTTCGACGCGGTCGATAATAGTGTCGAATGCATTACCTTTGACCTTAATAATGCTAAACTATGTGCGAGTGCTTTATTTTCAGAATTGTGATACATTTGACGTCAAATTTAGGGCATCTAAATTTGATCAAAAAGACATATAAGCAAATTAAGTTTAAAAATGATGCTTTCATCTGAAGGCGTCGAATATATTTTTAACCTAAATTTAAGTGCTGGCTGTATTACCTGACACAACGTAACACGAGTCATCTGAAAGGGAAACACCACATGTGGCACTGTGCTCTGCTGTTGTCAAACTTACCCGGTCGCCTTCAACAGTATTCTGTCAAAAATATAAGTATTCATATGCTGTTACGCAGTGTTTTTATTTAAATGAAATAAATCAAATCATTTAACTCTTTTATTTACTTTCAAAAGTCACAACATAGTCATATAGAAAGCTTTTATGTAATGCTGAATTATTGTTATGTCTTGATCTTGAGAAAGAAGGGCTTGTGTTTCGTCAATACTGTATCTTTAACATTATCTAAATGTAGTTAACCTTTTTCAAAAATAGTATACAGATAATTGCATTGGCATTTGAAAAAAGGTCTATTTTCAGTAAAAGAAAAAATGTGTTATACGTCTTATACCACTGCGTAATGACTGAGGAAGAAAACAAATTGTAATTAACATTCAAATTAACTCTTAGCGTACATTTTGTAAAAATTGAAAAACAAACACATTTTTTGTACATAAATTAGGCCGTTAGTTTTCTCGTTTGAATTGTTTTACATTGTCATTTCGGGGCCTTTTATAGCTGACTGTGCGGTATGGGCTTTGTTCATTGTTGAAGGCCGTACGATGACCTATAGTTGTTAATTTCTGTGTCGTTTGGTCTCTTGTGGAGAGTTGTCTCATTGGCAATCATACCACATCTTCTTTTTTGTACACACCACAAACATAAACATTGTACTTACCTTAAAATCCTTTAGTACATCAACAGTTATCTCCCTTACATTATTGTTAGGTTCATCAGTTGGAACAACATCTGAACTCACGACATGAACTTTGATAACTACAAAATATATGAAGTCACATAAATCGATTTGCAATACTCTGTATGCAGAACATGTCGCAGAACAAAATTGTTCCAATTTATTGATTAAACTCAAAGAGTTTTACTTTTCTGTGGGTTTTAATTTTTTTCGATTTTATTTGACGTTAAGTTTTAATTAGTATTTAAAGGAACTAACTATATCACACTACAAGAACCAGAAATGCAAGTTTATGATGGTACGAAATTAATGATAGAGATATTTAACATAAAATAGAAGTTTTTCCAAATACAACAGCATCTATATTACACGTTAATATATTCATTCGCAAACAAACATGGCCTTATATATACATGTATCTTTACCAACATTTTTTTTCTTAGACATACATGTACATGACCATCAGTTATATTGTTAGATGCATAAGCTATTGAATGTTATTTAAAGAAAAAAATAAGTTGTACGAGGATTTATCCTTCAATCAGTAAGTTATTGTATAATTTAAAAGTTTTCTTTAATTGTTTTTCCCTCACTCTTCGTCAATTTATCCCTTTCTGCACCCATTGTATAAAAAAAATTTAATCAACGTGTGGTTCGTTTGATATCAGTTCTTCATTGGTTAAAATCCGATTATGACGTCGAATTTTCTTGCTTTCCTCTGAATTTCCTATTGTGACGGCATGAAAAAAGGCGACCATGCCTGATGACGTCACCTGGAAAGAACACATCTTTTTGTAGATCATTCGAAAAGACGAAATAAATTTGCCTGCGTATTGTTTGAAAATGATTAGAGAAACAGATTCCACCACCAAATCTCGTGTAATACGATATTTATCCACTCTCGACAGCTAAATTTTAAATATTTAAAACGCTCGGCGAGCCTCGAGTTTTAAATTTGAAAAAAGGCGACCATGTCTGGTGACGTCACATAGAAAGAACACATCTTTCTTTAAGTCATTCGAAAAGAAGGATTAAGATTGTCTGCATGTCGTCTAAAAATCATTAGAAAAACAGATTCCACCGCCAAATCGCGTTCAATACGATATTTGTACACTCTCGACAGTTACATTTTAAATATTTAAAACGCTCGGCGAGTCTCGCATTTTAAATTGAAAATGTAATGTCCCGTGTGGATAAATATCGTATCACACTTGATACAGTGGTGGAATCTATACATATAGTCTCCTGATATCCCGTTTCTATGAGCGAACGGTAATGTTAAAATCAATAATAACGTCACAGTCGTTTTTGAGGTCCTAATATCAGTCCGCGTTTATAATTTCTGTTAGAACCAAACACAATGATTGAGAATTTACAAAAAAAGCTAAACGGGAGGCGTCAACGTTTAATTGCAGGACAAGAAACACAATATATATTCTAGTTTATTCTGTTCTGTTTGGTATTAAATTTATAGTTAAGATCCATTTATTACACCTTGTGATCCGTTTATTTGGCAATCGCCAATAGCAGTCAGCAGGATTTAAGAACATTTGTTGTTCGACCTGTTAGTCAAATGCGTTTTGTTAAAATGTACTTTTTCACTTTTTTGGTCTTTTGGAAAATGTTGTATGTGCTGTATTTAGACCCCTCTTACAAGAAATTTGTTTTGCATGCACACGTATAAAAATTGCGGTTTTTATCCAACGCAATCATAGGTTTGAACGTTGTTTTCAATTTAGAATTGTATATATATATATATATATATATATACATTGTCGGCAATATAGAATTTATTTGTACTCCCTACTAAACAGGAGAAATGATCACTGTGCCTCGCTTTTCAAACTGTTTCTAAAGCGCGAACACATTTTATAATTTCCAACAATGTACTTATAATTTACATACTAGTATGTTAGACTCAGATCGACTTTCGGCCTCTAATCGATGTTTAACAAAACGTTAAATTCTAAAATCATGGTCTCTTATGTTTTACCTTCTAATCGACGGCCAATGTGACGTTATGTCTTACCAAAACGACGTCCCCACGATCGGAGTCTCCTCTAATTGATGTTCACAATGATTTTAGTAATTTATTTCCAGTTTGATTTTTATTTGTTTTTAAGTAGTGATCGTTTAATGCTGTCCCTTTGACAAAAATATAAAAATTTCAAAAAACTTGAACCACACACTGTATCGGAAAAATTTCATTGGATACATAGCAGGGGCCTGTTTATCGAATCAAGTCTTAGGATTAGGACGTGTCCTAAGACCAACTTAGGACATATCTTAATCCTATGTGGGTTTATCAAACATGTCGTACCTTAGGAAAATCCTAGGAATTGTCCTAACTTTAGGATACCAATTTAGGTGTCTAAAGATGGTCTTAGGATGGTCCTAACTTTAGAATATATTTAGGATGGTTGTCTTATAACTAAATATGGCCTGTATTGGTTGCATTTACTTTAGGGAAGTACCATTTGATTTTTATGACGGGGTGGGTGGATGGGTGGGTGGGGGGGGGGGGGGGGGGATGGTGGTGCCTAGGATGAAAAATATTGTTCTGCTTTTTTTGTTGTTGTTATCTCTGTCCTTCCTTTTTATTTTTCACTCTATTCGGTCCTGCCTTTTTTTATCAGTTTATCCTGACTATTTTTTACATACATGTAAATTGTCATCCTGCTTTTTTTTTGACAAAGTTCCTCATCCTGCATTTTTTTTTTACTTCCAAACTCCTGTCCTGCCTTTATTTTATTAGTTCATCCTGACCTTTTTTAACATGAAATGTCATCTTGCTTTTTTTTGGCAAAGTTGCTCATCCTACCTTTTTTTTTTACTCCAAACTCTTATCCTGCCTTTTTTCAAATTTAAACCTAGTCCCCCCCCCCCCCCAAACCCCCCCGCCCCCCATACAAATCAAATGGTAATTCCCTTAATGCATATTTAATCCCTATCCCTCTTTTCAGCACCATTTGTTACAACATTTGACAATTTACCAAAAAACAAAGTGTGTTACTCTTGTCCACGTCGTCCAGGAGAGTCTGTAGTTTTGCATCGGTTGAATTCGAATTTCGTCTCTTATATTCACAAGTATCATCGCATGTTATTTGTAGTAATAAAATAGTTGAAGTACTCAGTATTTATATGAAAGATGCACGAGATTTGCCTTTGAACTTTTAAGTATGAAACCGTGACACTTCGAATTCAGCTCACTCAAAGCATATAATGATTTTACCGATTATATATTTTATTTTAACTATTTACAATTCGTTTGTTTCAATTCTTATATAAAACGTAGTTATATTTTTTGTCTTATGTTTTGTTTTATGAGTTTAAATGTACAAATATAATATAAAAAGTATTTATCACCTTTAATTTTAAACTAATAATTATTTTCTAATTATTCATCTTTTTTTAAATTATAGTTATTGGTTAAATTTGATACAATATTTTCATTTTTTCATTTTTAATTTGTTATTTTCTTTAACGCTAATACTTAGGACAGCGGTTAGGACATCCTAGCTAAGATAATCCTAAGATAGCTTCGATGTGCATGCTGAGACATGTCGTAAGTCGGTCCTAACTTTATCCTAATTGCTGTCCTAAGAAATTCTTAGGACCGATCTTAGGACAGTCTCGATAAACAGGCCCCAATTTGACAAACACTAACTTTGATCACTGAGAAGCTTGATATTTCCTTAACAATAGATCGTGATTAAAACGTTTAGCTGATTTTTACAGAGTTATCTGCCTGTAGTGTTATGTACCACCTTAATGCTGCCTAATTAGGTTAATTGCTTTTAATATACTTTTTATGCATTACAAACCATAACGACTTAGTTAACGTGCGATAAGGGACAACAAAAGAGACAACATCTTGTCCTCTAGATTCAAGTTAAAAAGAATAAAAGAACGTGCATTGGTAAATGACAACACGGACATTAACATTTGGCGTGGAAGACGTTAATTCACTCGATCTACGTTGTAGTATTCCTTTCATAATCACATGGATAAAAAGGAGATGTGGTTAAACGTCAACGAGACAGCAACCGAACAACAAAGATAACCAAAAACATATCTATAGATGCAAAAGACGGTCTGAAACAATAGACAGCTACATGTGTATTAATACTGTAACGGATATTATGGATAAAGAACTAGGACCAATATTCCTATTATTCTCCAACTAATGAAAAATACCCAGAAGTGACATACAAATACTACTGAATAACTGAGGTTCCTTACTTGGGACATGGAACTACAATGTAGTTAAGTTAGCAAAACTAACTGAAATCCCTAGAATATATAACAACAATATGTATCTAGTTATTGTCA